ACTCTTTCAGATACCTTGGATGTTGCCCAACAAGCTGGCGATTACCATCCACTAATGAGTCTTTCCATTTTTTCTTATCATTTTATTTTGTACTGGAGGGCGTAGTCGGAGGCTTTGGGGAGACGGTCGGATAGGGCGTGGACGGGTGGTAGAGAGAGCAGGGCAAACAGGTCCATAGCTTCTTGTACCTGAGTTAAGATGCAATTCAAGCTATCCAATTTCACTGAGCCAGCTTCATACGCTTTTATGCTACATCAGCCTCAAAGCCTTGCACCGTGTCTTAATGCTCGAATTTAGGTCAAACATCAGGAATCTCTTTTCATCATCTTTCGCCTTGTTTGTAAAGTAGGGACTCAGCCAGCCAACCTGGAACGTTTCCTTTAGAGACTCGGACAGCGGGCAGCGGGACGGCGAAAAGAGCCACCGTAGCCGAGAAATTTTCAGTGGACCCCGAGTGCATTGTGGCTGGCGCGCGCACCTTTAGCTCACTACTTGCTTGCACGTACTGTTGTAAGCTCTACGAAATCCCAAATACCAAACGATTATTTCCTTCACTAGGTATCCATTGGAGCTCAATCGGCCTCCCCCTTAGCTACAGAACCCTCGAATGACGCCTTCGAATTACCCTCTTCACGCGACTTTGCAATAACTCTGACTTTCCCGGGCCGAAAGCCCTCCCGCTGCCCAAGATGATGCACCCTTCACGACAAGCCTACGTCGAGGAGGCAATGGACGAGGATCGAGGTATCGCGCTGGAGGACGTCCCCGTCGACCACGACTACGAGATTCCCTCCGCATTTGCCGGCGCCGCGCCTGAGAAGACGTCGGCCGTCCTGGCGCAGATGGAGAGGAAGAAGCTGGCGGCGAGTATCGCGGTGCCCACGGACGACAACCGGGTGCGCACAAGGCTCAGAGAGATGGGCGAGCCGATCACGCTCTTTGGCGAGGGCAAGCCCGAACGCAGAGACCGCCTCCGGAACCTGCTGGTTACCCAGCTGCTGGCCAACCAGCAGGAGATGGATGGCATCGAGAACGGCGACATCACAATGGAGGACGCCGAGGATGAGGACGAGGACGAGCAGGACGAGGAGTTTTACACACCCGGCGGCCAGGCCCTGCTGCAGGCACGCATCGATATCGCAAAGTACTCCCTGCCGAGGGCGCGGCGGCGGGTGCAGTTTCAAAAGGCCGAGTCTACGATCCCGTTGCGTACACACGTCAAGTTCCGGAAACAGATCAAGGAGAAGCTGGATGGCTTCGAGCTCCAGGGCAGTCAGACGGCCGGCGAGAGACACGTCAGCATGACGAGATTATCGCCAAACGGAGAGCTCGTTGCCGTGGGGAACTGGGGCGGAGCGCTCAAGCTCATTGAGATCCCGAGCATGGAGGCCAAGATGAATCTCCGAGGACACACACAAAAGATTAGCGGTATCTCATGGTACCCGGGGTCCACGCTACCCGAGGCCAACGTGTCACCCGATACCGTGAACCTCGCTTCCGGCGGAGCTGAGGGCTTGGTCCACCTGTGGTCTCTGAACAAAGATACCCCCCTTTCGACCCTGACGGGCCACGGCGGCAGGGTATCCCGCGTCGAGTTCCACCCTTCCGGCCGATATCTGGCATCGGCCTCAGACGACACGACGTGGAGGCTCTGGGACGTGGAAACGACGGCGGAGCTGCTGCTGCAAGAGGGCCACTCCAGGGGCGTCTACGCCGTCAGCTTCAACGCCGACGGCTCCCTCTTGGCCAGCGCGGGCCTGGACAGCATCGGCCGCATCTGGGATCTGCGGTCCGGCAGGACGGTCATGATTCTCGACGAGCACATCCAGCCCATCTACGCGCTCGACTGGGGTTCCGACGGCCACAGGGTGCTGTCGGGTTCGGCCGACGGCTGGGTAAAGTGCTGGGACGTGCGCAAGGTGCAGCGGACGGCGAACCTCGGCGCGCACGCCAAGGCCGTCTCGGACGTGCGGTGGTTTCGGGGCCTGGACGACCCGATCGACGGCCACCCGCCCGGCCCTGACGAAAAGGGCGCGCAGCAGCCCAAGAAGGCGGGCACGTTTTTCGTCTCTGGCGGGTTCGACGCAAAGATTAAAATCTTCTCGGCCGACAACTGGGGGTTGGTGCAGACGCTCAGCGGGCACTCCGGGCCGGTTGCCAGTGTCGATGTTAGCAGGGACGGCAAGTGGATTGTCAGCGGTGGCCACGACCGGACGGTCAAGCTCTGGGGCCGGAATGATGGCGAGGGAGTGTAAGGAAGATGATTTGGTTTTGGAGACGGACGGAGAGACCGACTCCTGTAGAACAATAAGATACCCCCTTCCAAGTTCAGTCAACTCGCCAACTCCCATCGAACCAGATTTTGAAGCATCGCCTCAAAGTTCATGAAAGACCATCTATAACCTCGCCTTGGGCGATCCACCAACCCCATCAGACGCCCCCCGAACCCTCCCAAGAACCTCATCCATCACATCCCCCAACGCCCTCATCGCGCCCTCCCCAACCTGGTGATGCAACACGACCCTCTTCCCATCCAACTTGATCCCCCTCCACCTCCCAGCCTCATTCCACCGCTCCAAACCCACACCGCAACCCCGGAGATCCAACCAGACCATATTCGTCTCAACAGGCTTTAGCAGTACTCCGCCCCGGGAAACCCACATCCTCCCAACCTCAGCCGCCATCGCCCGGCTCCTCCCCAGCACGCCCCGAGAGTCTCGGTTACCCAGGCCGAAATTCTCTAGAACGGCCTGCCGCGCCGCGGCGGCGAGGACGCCGGCCTGCCTCATCCCGCCGCCTATACTCTTGCGTATCCTCCTCAGACGCTTGATCAGCTCCGACGAACCCAGCACCATGGCGCCCATCGGCGCGGCGAGGTTCTTGCTGAAATCGAGGGTTAGAACGTCGCAGCACCGTCCGAATTCTTCCAGTGTGCCCGCGCCCGCGGATACGGCTTCCCAGAGCCGTGCGCCGTCCACGTGTACGCCGATCCCCCTCTCCCTAGTCCACTCTCTGATCCTCTGCAGCTCCGCGAGCGGCACGACGACGCCGGAGGACGTGTTCTCGATGCTCACCACCCGCGTGGGGCATTTATGTACGTCGTCCGTCACGACGGCATGTGTCTCGACGTCTTCTAGGGTCAAGTACAACCCGTTGCGCGGGCGGATGCCCTGGATCATGGCGCCCGAGAGGTGTGCTACGCCGCCGGCTTCCCAGTGGATTATGTGCGCGGAAGCGTCGGCGAGGACGGCATGGGGTGGTTGGGTTAGGAGGGTGCGGAGGGCGAGCTGGTTTGCCATTGTGCCGGTGAGGACGAAGGCTGCGGCAGCGTGGCCGCAGGTTCTCGCGAGCGAGGTTTCGAAGGCGGTGGTTGTGGTGTCTTCTCCGTAGACGTCGTCGGAGAGGGTTGTTTGGGATATTGCGGTTAGCATTGTTAAGGAGGGGGTTGTTATTACGTCGCCTGGAGGGGGAGGTTAGTGGACTTTCTCTCTATCTCTCTCTCGCGCGCGAGAGAGATCAGTATTCGGGTGATCGGGAATAGAATGAAGACAAGGATGAGGGTTTTGCATGGGCTGGCGTAGAAAGGAGGACTGAGAGGGAAAGGGGGGTTCGACTCACTCCTGAAGTCGAACGCGGCGCCGGTTTCTTGGGGCGAACCCCAGAGGATAGGGGTGTTCTCGTCGTCGGGCATCATAGTGAGGAATTCCAGCAGATCTTTAGATGCCGAAGGACGGCGTATAAATTGCTAGTCTTGATGAAATCACGGCGAGTTTCCAGAGTAGTTCCTGTATGAAAACTATCAAGCCCGAAGCAAAGCCGTGGTGGAACCAGGAATCAGGCAACACGGGCAGTTTGGCAGTTGCTTGCAAGTGTATCCGGCAAGCGCTGTCCAGGTCTTGCAGGGACTTTGTTAATAAGGACGCCCCTCAAAGGCAAGACGATCTCATCTCAGCCGGATTGGAGATGTTATCACGAGACACATACGTTTAGATCTCTTGCCGCCTTGCAATCTGAGCCGAGGAAAGGAACATCACCACCCCATCCGAACTCATTGTGGCGTTTCTAGAAGGATTCGGGTTGAGGCTATCGACCACACAATCCTCTGTCAGCCGCGCGCGCGGGAGGGGCATCCAGACGGGAAACGGCGTGGCGTATGTATGTATGTAAGTGAGAGATGTCATGCAGTCAGCTCAGGGCCCATCGCAATCACGTCGCCCCAGGTCTGTCAAATCAGCGATATAACCATCCTCAAGAGGAAACGAGAGAAGGCTAGTGAACATTCTAGGTCAGCTAAACAGGTCGATTCTAGAAGGTATGCTCGATATGCCTCGGGCTCGGCTCCAGCCCCAAGTAGATCATTGAGGTTCAATGCCGTGATGTGTATCAGTGATTGGACCGTTGACGCGACGTCGGCCTCCAAGTGCTTACGGCAGATGTAACCCGTCTAGGATCTCACATGCAGCAAATAGTCTGCTTCCCCTTTTGATCCTTTAATCACCATGGCTTTCATCTTGGTGATTTGTAGCAGCATTCACGATCTCCAAATGGGCTTCTTGGATTTCTTGGAAAGGGAACTTGGAGGCTGAGCCTTTTTTTTGCTCGCTTGCTTTCGCCTCTTCGGAGTTAGCTGGGCATTTGTTGGCATTGTAGGATTTGTATTGAACATGTATATGACTAAGAATATGAGAAGGAGGAGGATATGTTCTCTTGGCCTAACGTGTGTGTCTGTTGAACAGAAAAGACCGAGGCCTTGTCGTCGATCAGCGGTGTGGGATATAAGCCGGTAGCCGCAAGCATAACGCAGACCCAAAAGAAAGGGGGAGAAATACAGACGATGGTACTCTGGTGGCGTTTATTCTACGATTCTCCTCTTCAACCATATTCCTTTTTCCCTGTCTCTTTTCTATACCCACCTACCTAGACTATGCTCAACTCTCATCTATAACGTTCATCCCCTCGTCCCCTTTCCCCCTCCCACCTTACGCCGGACGCCCCCAGCCATGGTCCTACAGAGCCACGACGCCCAGGAGCCGACCGGGTTTCCCGATGTCAAAGCCCTTGCCGCCGTTGCCGTCTCCTCCTGCGCCGTCGTCGAGGACACGAAGGCGGGTACCTATACGGATGAGAACGCCGTCCTAGCAAGGTACGGACTCGAGAGGCGCGCCGACGGCTTCGTCAACTGGCAGCGGGACTGTGCTACGCACCCGCGGAACTGGACTACCAGACGGAAGGCGTTTGATACCACAGTCATCATTCTGTTTGAGCTGTACACGTGAGAGAGAGCCTTTTTTCTTCTTTTTTGTATATGTTTTCCGTAGCTGACAGGTTGAAAAGTACAATTATAAGTACAACTGGAGTACGTGATCACACCACCTTACCTTATCTTATATTGCCTACTCCCCATCTCTGTCGAACCGTACCGAGATAATCCGTATCGCGGCAGGAACCGAGCAGCGTGGGGGTGTTCGTTGCTACACCAAAGTTCCCTATACCTACCTTACACAACAATGTCAACCTACCCATCAAATACAGAACCAAAGACAGAATGATATGCTAACAAGGCTCTGCCCCTACACAGGCCGTCGCCGCAACCGAGGCGGCTCCAGACTATGGTCTCAGTCGTCAGGTATCCCTGGTGGGCTTCACCCTAATGTAAGCTTCTCTCTCTCCCCCTCCTTCCCAGTTCTCCTGGAAAAGAAGTCCTGACGGACAACAATAATAGGTACCAGCTAGGCCAAGCAATAGGCGGCTTCCTCATCCCCCCCTTTTCCGAGCTCTTTGGCCGCCGCCTCCCCTACCTCATCTCCTGCGCCGCTTTCTGCCTCGCGAGCCTCCTCACTGGCCTAGTCCGCGATCCCGCAACCGTCTACGCAGGGCGTTTCGCAGCGGGGCTCGCCTCGGCCGTGCCGTCCGTCGTCATCGCCGGCAGCGTGGAGGACATGTTCAACACGAAGCAACGGGTCTGGATTATCGTCCTCTGGAACGCGGGGACAACGGTCGGCTTGTGCTTCGGCCCCGTCTACGCCGCGTATATTTCGCAAGCGGTCGGGTGGCGGTGGATCTTCCACAGCGCGGCCGTCGTGACGGCGGTGCTGTTCCTGGCCATGTTTGGGATCAGGGAGAGCCGGCCTAGTATCCTGCTGGGGGCCATTATCAAAAAGATCCAGAGGGAGAGGACCACGATGCGAGAACTGTCGTGGCATAACCCGGACGATGCGCGCGACTGGCGGGCCCTGGTCCGGATCAGCGTTCTTCGACCGGGCAAGATCTTGCTCACGGAGCCGTTGGTCGTTATGGTGGCGCTCATATCGGCGTCGTCGTGGGGCATGATTTACCTTTTTACCGAGTCGCTCACCGTGGTCTACGTCTCGCTCGGGTTCACCAAGACGCAGGCGTCGTTACCGTTCCTGGCCATCGCCGTCGGCGTCGTCTTCACGTTCCTCCCTCGTCTGTGGGATATGAAGGTCGTCCGAGACCGCCAACGAAAGCAGATTCCCATCCAGCCGTGAGTTTACTCATGTATCCTTACCATACGTTCATCGAGATCTCTCAATGCTAACCTCCCTTGACCAGAGAGGACAAAATCATCGGCTTCGCGTTCGCCGCCCCGGCACTCGCCATCGGGCTGGCGTGGTTCGCGTGGACGGTCCCACCCCTGGTGCCGGGCGTCCACTGGGCGGTGCCCACGGCGTCGCTCGTTCTCGTGGGCTTCGCGGTCAACGAGACGGCGCACACTTTGAGCGGCTACCTCGCGGACTCGTACCTGCTCTACTCGGCGTCGGCGTTCTCGGGTCTCGCGCTCGTGCGGGCCGTCGCGTCAGGGCTGATGCCGCTGGTGGCGCACGAGATGTACGCCGGGCTGAACGCGAACTACGCGGGCACGATACTGGCAGGGCTGGCGGCCGCGTTCTGCGTGACGCCGTGGGTGTTTTTCCGGTTCAGCAAGAGGTTGAGGCAGAGGAGCCCGTTTGCGCGGTTTAGTCTGGAGACGCACTACCTGACCAACGTAGAAGATAATTAGTAGATCAGTGGTGACTTCCAAAAGCCATGCAGAGAAGTGAAGCGTCGTTTTGATGTCTGGCAAAATTACAGTTTGGGCTTAGTCAATCGGCGTTGACGTGACCATCGAGGAGGGAAGATCGTCGTCGGCCGAGTTTCGACAGGGTTGGGTGCGGTGGATGGCGTACCTTATTCGGTGGGAACCAGTGGAGAAGGCGTTCGTGGGTGCTGCGACGAACATGTGTTTGCGGTGTTTTGATTGATTCCAGAAAATGAGGTTGATCATAGAGCCCACGAACTATACGATTCCTGACAGGAAATCATTAGTGCCAATAACCAGTCGCCTAACGTTCAAGTGACGCCTGGATATCTTCTGGGTGTCCGGAATAAGGTACCTATGCTCAGCTGACCATTGTCAACTCAAAGTGAGACAGAATGCTCGGGCCAGCGTAGCATGCATTCTGCATAACCCGGTAAAGCCACAGGAGTCTCGATCTTGTCCGAGACATGCCACAGAGATGAGAGACTACGGTAGACTTATTTCCTCCCCTGGTCAATCCTCTGACGTGAGCTCTTTGTTCCAGACGGGAGCTCCATGCCAGTTGGCATTCCTGAGATGCATTTCCTGCGGATGTTCAAATGTTGTTGTGTTCCCTTTTCCCTTTCAAGTTTTCGTATTCTCCCTTGGGACCCTTGTGAGAGATTCTGGTCTGGGCTCTTGGGTTGCGCAAAGACCAACTGACGGGTTGAGAGAGTGTGTGAGTGAGAGTGAGACCGTGAGACGGGGCCGGCGCATAAAAATAGCAAATTTGAGGAATATTAGCGAAGAGGCGGCGTTACTATGTGCGTGTTTGACGAGGTAGCGAAAGAGGCCGGTGTCAGACCACTTTGTGAGGTTACTAAGGCAGGTAGGTACCTTGGGTCCGTACTTTGTATCTTTGGGCTCTGCCGCCCTCCACATTTGGTGACATTTGGTGGACGTCATAAGGCAATCAATCAATCAATCACGCATCCTTGGCCCTGGAGTTGCTTCTCTCTTTAATCTCGTGGTTTGGAGACGAATGAAGTCGGGACTGAGAGGAATCACTTTACTGCCTCCGTCGATAGTCGGACATAAGCCAGCAACTCCTTGACTGCAAGAGCATGTGAAATTGGGGAAAGAAAAGAAGTCCAAGTTCGATTGTTGGTGGAATTCCGACTGCGACTGGGAAGAAGGATGAATATCCGGATGGTACCTTCCCGCTCCGCTGACACCGCCGACCAGATTCGGTAATACATTGCAGAATGCCACGCTGATCCCCGCTGCTAACCGGCGACGATACGGAAAGGGAAGGCTTCGAAAGGGACGCCAGACATGTCTTTCAGCCCAGTGTTGTATATCTGTCCGGCATGACGCTGCATCAAATACAGTGGCCAGGGCAGGCAAAGGAGATACCTTACCCGCAGCCGACCTAACAAATTGGGAATGCCGTGACAATCCAGTGTCAAGGAAATGGGGACAGGCCACTGAAGGAGAGTCAGAACATGCAAAGGGAAAAAATCAAAAGACCCAGGCAATTTGGGCTGAGTTGGAACGAGGCAAGCAATGTCCATCGGGTTACAGGCTTACAGCCCCTGCGCCTGCCCAATGGTAGCACCCGAAAAGGCCCCAGCGCGGGTGCCCAAATTTTTGGCTTCCGCTTTGCCAATCCCACACCAGTGGACCAGTGTACCTGTGGATCCACACTTCCCCCTCGCACCTCCCCCTCCAAAGTGCGGTGCTTTTGGTCACTTTCGGTCATTTTGGTGTGGTTTTGGGTGGGTAGGAAGTGGGAAGTGGAAAGGTGGGAGGGAAAAAAAGTGTCCGCTGCCCACAGCCATGTGAATGAAAAGTCACTCAGGTCGCTGGCTGACATGGCCTGGCCCTCTGGTTGGTCCGCTCACCTTGGGTCCGCCACTGTCTTACTACGGTACTTGTCATTTGTACCTACCACTTGTACCTACCTTACGCCGAAACCCCCTGTACCCAGCCTGTGGGTGGCCTGTCCCGAGCGAAGGAGGAACGGCTTGGGCGGGCTGAATTTTCTTGAATTTGTTAAACCTTGGAGCCGGCCTGTTTCCATTTGATCCTTTCTCCTTTCCCTTTCTTCAACAACACCATTTTGGTGAATGCAACCACTCCTCCCTCTGAAAATGCCTTGTTGACTGACCGACTACTCAAGAAACCCGATTAAACACCAATGCCTAGTAAAAACGACACTTACGACATCACTTCTTGCTCATTCTTCCGCCGCCAGATGCGCCGAAACCCGAGCCACCAAAACCTCGAGAGAAACTACGAATCTGACCCGCGCGACGACCCCGAGCGACGACGAGGCACGATCTCCGTGCTTCACTCTTATCCATAACCCTCCTACCAAAGTGACGGCCACTACTGGTATAGGGCGCGACCGGGACACCGACGCGCGCCCCTCGTTCACGAGCAACCCATACTTTTACACGGAGCGGCCACCTTAAAGTCTTTCCCGTAAATTACCACCACCACCAACCCAGCCATGATTGCCAAGGCGACGCCCGCACTGAACACGGTGCGCGGCTTTCAAAACACCCCCGTCACCTCCGGCGATGAGGATTCCGACTACGGCGTTTGCGCTACCCCGCCTCTCTCCGCGAAGCGCTCCGGCCGCGCTGCCCTCATCGACGATGTCGTCAGCGCCAACTGTAGCCCCAACATGCGCGGGGCATCCTCCCCTGCTGTCTCGGGCATCGCCAAGCTGCGCTTGCAGATGGAGCCTCTCAGCCTCGACAACTCTTCCCGAACGAGCACCTTGACCCTCAACGGCAGCAACGGCCATGGCGGCCTTTCCAAGGGGCTGGGAATCAGCAGTGCTGTCATGAGTCGCTGCGGGAGCCAGGACGGCAGTCAGAGTGAGGCTGGCAGCGAGCGTTCTGAGACCGGGTCTACGAGCTATGAGGTCAACCTGGAGCATGACTACGTCGACGAGAGCGTACGAGAGCGAAACGGCCACATTGTGCCCATCGAGGGCAGCAAGGATGTTCAGCGTAAGATGACGGCCGACGACTTTGATCCCCTTCGATGCCTAGGAAAGGGAACCTACGGTACCGTGCTTCTTGTGAAGCAGCGCAACACCGGCCGGCTTTACGCTCAGAAGCAGTTCAAGAAGGCTTCCCTTACTGTGCACAAGAAGCTCATCGAACAGACTAAGACGGAGCGTCAGATCCTTGAATCGGTTAACCGACACCCCTTTGTTGTCAAGCTCTACTACGCCTTCCAGGACCATGAGAAGCTGTATCTGATTCTCGAGTACGGCCAGGGTGGAGAGCTGTTCACTCACCTGAGCACCGAAAAGATGTTTGCCGAGCCCGTTGCTGCCTTTTACATGGCGGAGATGCTTCTCGCCATCTCGCACCTGCATAGCACCCTAGGTGTCGTGTACCGTGATTTGAAGCCCGAAAACTGCTTGCTGGACGCTGAGGGCCACCTGTTGCTCACTGATTTCGGCCTTTCCAAAGTCGCGGTCGATACCTCAGAGGACCACTGCAACTCGATGCTTGGAACTGTCGAGTACATGGCCCCCGAGGTCATCCAGGGACAGAAGTACGGAAAGGCGGTCGACTGGTGGTCTTTCGGCGCGCTGGGCTACGACTTGATGACTGGCAACCCGCCCTTCCGCGGCGGCAACCATGCCAAGATTCAGCAGAACATTGTCAAGCAGAAGCTCGTCATGCCGTACTTCCTGAGCCCCGACGCCAAGGATCTCCTGACGCGCTTGCTCAAGAAGGATCCCAAGAAGCGTCTGGGAGCCAACATGCCCAAGGACCTGCAAATCATGAAGGGCCACCGCTTCTTCAGAAAGATTGACTGGAAGAAGCTCGAGGCCAGAGAGGTCGAGCCGCCCATCCAGCCCATGATCACCGACCCCGAGCTCGCCGAGAACTTTGCGCCCGAGTTCACCGATTTGTCCCTGAGCCCTGTCATCACGGCCAAGGACCCATGGAGCGCCATGTCGGCCAAGGAGGATGACCCCTTTGGCGGCTTCAGCTTTGTTGCGTCGAGCAGCATGTTGGAGAGCCACGCGTTTCGATTCACCACTGAAGTCTAGATTGTATTGTTCGTACACATCATCAGCAGAGATAGACGAAAGAGTATAGAGAGATCTGGGAGTGCTAGGCGAACGGCATGGGAAAAAGTCTAGGAGCCTCAGTGTGAATTGGCGCGGCTAATGGACGCGCGCAGTACGGAGTTATCGAAGAGAAGCAAAGTCCGTTTATCCTTGGGCACTGAGAGTTTCTAGCCCTTCACTGCCCCGTTCGGTGCATGAGCGACGGAACAGTGAAGCATCGAGATTCGTTCTGTTGTTGGTTTTTTTCTGGCGCATCACTAGTCCGTAGTTATACTTTTCCCCCTTCTTTGGTAGTCATTGGGCGAAGCATCGTCACGATAATACATACGAGTTTTTTCTTGGTTGACTTTTTTTGTCGTGCCCCTGCTTCTCTCCTCCCCTGCTTCAATTACTCTCGGCGACAGGCGCATATCGCGCCAAGCTTCAGTTTGCTTTGCAATTCAGTGGCTGGGATTTGGTCCTGGCACTTTTCTTGGACTCCGTAGTCAACCGCGCGCGCGCGCGAGCGCTTGCTTGGCAAATTCGCGGATCTCAAGGGGGGGGGGGGGGGAAGGTGTGCATTCTCCTTCAAGCCTGGCCTGGGTCCCAGAGCCCTGGGACCTTCTTGGCGGTAATCTGAACGTTCGGGAAACCGAAAAGAGCCATGACTAGCTGCCAAGATTTCCAAGACCAAGACGCCGGGGGGATTTCGTAAACGGTGAAGACAAGGAATGTCAGTCGGGATATTGACTAAAGGGTAGAAGTCTGTTCATCCTTTCCTTACGGGACACAAAAACACCAAGAAAAGACACCGAGAAAGGTAAAAAAGATGGGATTACGCCAGGCTCGCTGGTGATGTCCTCAATCTTGCTTTCAAGCTAGAAGCTAGTCTGTGGCAGAGGCCGATCGTGGTATATTG